TATATATATATATATATATGCGTATATATATTGTTAATATTTAAAGCGTGGACCGTGTTTAAGCGGAGCAGCTGGCTTCGCCAATTACCTTCGCATCGATTTATCTCCTTCACGGTTAAAAAGCAGCGATTCGGATCGGAACGAAACGTTTTCGAACGATGGCGTTAAATATAGGCTTCGAGCCGGTAATTTCGAAATATTGTCCAACTTTACCGTGTGGCTCTACGACTGGTTGCGGAGAGTCTCGCGCGCGAAACGTGTGAACGCTCCTTAATGTTACATGCTCGCTGCTGGACAGGTTTCTCAACCGGTAAGGTAGGCCGCCATCAAGTTTAACGAGTGTTCAGCTTGTGTTTAAATAAATTGGCGAGCAATTATGCCGACGTAGGTGCTGTCTTCGCTACATTCTTTTTCCTTTCCTCTTCTTCGCCCATTTCCCCGCTGTTCTCTCTCACCCTTTTCGTTTTCCAGCTCTCGTGCTTTGCCTCGCGTTTTCATAGTTTCGAACAAGATTACCCGCGTGTAAAATTATCGTTAAGATTAGCTAACCAAAGAAACTGCCCCCGTGTATATTAATCCGTTCAGCTATTTGAACATTCGCGTTCCACCTCGCGATTTACGAGTGCAGCTGCGCAAAGGAGGATTGGCAACCGTAAACGTTTCATTTTCCCCTTAACACTTCTCGGCAGCAAGAATCTCGCGAGAAACCGGCATTCAGAATTTCTATTTAGACGGGGAACGCGGCCGGAAAATATTTGTGTACCGTGTAAGTGTCAGGTCGCCGACTGCATTTTTCCAACCGGACGAAATATCGGCAGCCGAGAACTGCAGAGAGCTGCAGAAAAGATATTTTGCAGCCAGGTGATACTGCAGGAAACCGCCAGATGGCAAAGGGGACTTCTTCCGTGTCCTTGGCTAGCCTGATCCTGCCTTCCTTTCTGATAATACTGCAGATCAATATGTATACCGATTCTTTCTTTTTCTCCAATTTCTCTACTCATCAATCGTCAATTACGTTCGATCAAATGGAATTTTCCGTTTCAACGATCCGGCGAAATATCATCTTCTCTCTCGTTGCAGAAATTTTTATCAGTTTTCTTTAGGAAATTTTCTATTGTAATTTGTACGAATACGGGTTATTTATTGTGAATGGATATAAATTTTTGAAAAAAAAAAAAAAAATATATATATATATATATATATATACACACACACACACCTATTGTTTCTTCTTCCATGTTAGAATTTTAAACATGCATCAACGTTACTCCGAAATACATACGTAGTGATTTCTTCTTTGTTCCACAGTCCTCGCTTTTTATAAATAACATTTTCAATTCTTCTTTTTATAAATAACATTTTCAATTTTTTCAGTTCAAATGAATTGTTCTCTATCCCCAAACACATACGATTGACTTGTCGATCGACTTTTTCATCGGTATTACGTTTCGCGAATGCTCCCTTTTTCGAATCAATTTCTTAAAGTAATTCTTTCTTTTATAAAACGCGGTCCGTTTCAATGCACCGCGCAGAACGCCATTATCATCTACCGGTGCAAGTGGCCTTATATCACGGGTTGATCCCCAAGAGTTTCGATCCGTGCGAATAACGACGACGAAAATCGCGCTTATCTGAAATTCTGACGCTCGTTCATGATCGAATATTCATCCTTGGTCTCCCTGGGGAGGCGGAGGGTGGAGGCGGTATAAGAAAGCAAAAGAGGAGAAAACGAAATTGTGGGAGAGTGCACGGCGGAGGAGAGTCCGGAGAAGGAAAGAAGGAAGACCAACCAAAATGAGAGTCCGAGAAGTGCGTTGAACCATGCTGGAGGAGACCAGAGGAGCCAAAGCCACCAGAGCGATGAAGAATGGATGCTGGTTTAGCAGGAGTGCAGATTTGCTTGAGTCGGGTGCAACGGCCCCTTTGCTTTCGTGTTCATCTTCTCGTTGCTATAGCTACACCGTCTAATACCTCCCACCATTCTTCGAATGCCTGTTCTCCATTCTCTTTTTATTTCAATCGGTAAGGAGAGAATGCCCGTCGTCCATTTTCACGTACGTGCGATTGTTCACTGCCGATGATACTCTCCGATACGCGGCTGATTTATCGTTGCGAAAATTAACCATGCCTCAAACCAAGTGCACATGCACGAATGATATTTAAAACGAGCCTCTTTAAATAATAGTTTTGAAGAGCAAACTCGAAAGCGCGCTTTAATTCCTCGCTCGTTGTACAAAGACGATTCGTTATACAAAGTGACCACGTTTTCCACGTTTGAACGCAGGTGATTGATGTTCGGACGAACAACGATTTGTCACGAGGGAAAGGAAGAAACTTGTAATAATCATGAAGCCATCACAAGTAATTGTCATCGGTAGCTGCAGAGTGTCCGGTTTTGTGAGAACAAGCTTGGTCATTAAATAAACCCCTTTTAGTGGTTGGCTGGTTATCTTCAATGGTGTTTTAAAAGGGGCATTTAGGCCCATTTTGGCTACCCACACAGCCCCCGACACCCTTCCCCTTCTTTCGCGTTATGGTGGCTCTCTTCACGCCCCCACCATATTCGACACGCGTCCTACCATACTATAAGCTTAAAGGCCCTGACTTTTACGATTCTGTTCAAGTGGTCATAAAACCGGAGTTTATTACCGTCATGATTTTCAAGCAAACGGGCTGCCACCTGTCGGAGTCCCACAAAAGCGAAAACTGCATCAAGTCTCTTCATCAAGGGCTCTATCATTTCGGGTATTTGATGATTGCCCGGACAGCTCGTAACGGCCTATTGAAATACTAACAATCGTAACCGCGAAAACTCCCCGTGTTCTCTCATTCCGTGGCATTTCGATTTCAATTTATCACCGTTTTACCACCATTCATCGAATAATCAACGTAATTCCCTTGACTCCATATACGCGTGACAATTCAAACATCGGTAACATCGTTTTTTGATCAATTTGATCAATTAAATCAATCAATCAGTTTAAAATGTTTCTAAATTATGAATCTATAGTAATTTTATTTTTCTATTAGTTGAGTTATCCGATATCTGTAGATTATAAAGAGAGAAAGAGAGGGCGGAGGGGCTGCGAGTAAAATTGCAGACATTTATACTCGTAACAGTCGTAAATAATTCCGAAAGTTGACAAACGTTGATGTCAAACGCGATATAAACGCAGACAGTATATTTGCGAATAAATTGCCGTCGCGTCATTCGATGAATAGCAAAGGTCTAGACGTTCTTTTCCAGATTGGCGGCGAAGTAGGTGCGTTACATCCTAAACATTGATAATGGCGAAAGTGAACGGGCAAATAGTCCGATCCGGTCCCTGAGAGCAGCTTATGATGGGCATTACTCGGCTCGTTACGGAATAATTTACGAGGTGTGAACCGCGGGGGCGATAATCCAGCGACATTTACATCCCAATAAACATTCCCGATACTGGTGGCGGCGCGCGCCACGGCGTTTGCCCGCTTTCCTCACGGGCCTCACTTTTACGGCGTTTTAATTGTACGGCCGTAGTCTAATTGGTTCGTAAAACGTCCAAGTATCTCGTAAAAGACGTTTATGATAACATTCCTGTCGTTTGTACTCGCAATCGCGTCATCATCGAATCTACGGACAGACTGAGAAACCTCGGACCGGTTCGACCTGAAATCTCGAATCGTACGAGGTGGAAACACACGGCCGTTCCTTTAGCTCTGAAATAATTCCTCTCTCTGTCTCTCTCTTTGTCCCTTTCCTTTCGTTTGTTATCTCTTTTCCTCCCCGTTTCTGTGTGCCGTGCTGTTGATCGAACGATCCCGTGTAAGAGTCGATTCACAAAGATCGTTTTTGGCAATAACGATAATCGCAAGGTGTCTCGTTGATGTTGGTCGTTTGAACGTCTGAATGGATCTGGCAGCGTTAGTTCGCGGCGAAACACAGAGGTGGCGGTGCACGTATCCCCAGGAACTCTGGGGGTGCGGATCGGGCGCAGGGGGGAGAGGAGAGGAAAGGAAACGTTGCGTGACGCGCGTGGCATGAAGCTTTCGCTCTACCGTACGGCGGCCGACGGTGTCTGTATCCACGGCTGCTCGCGTGTTTCCACTGGTGGGGGTAAAGCGGGGCGGTGCCTAACCAGTCATGGGCGTCGTTGCCTATGGAACTACTTTCACATGGCGTAGGAATTTTCCTGCTATACCGGCGTGGTACTCGTGACGAATTCAATTCTGATTGGTCCTTAAGCATAACCTCCTCCCTTGGCACCCTGTTTTCTTTCCCCTCCTTCTCAATGTCCGAGCTACGCGGGCCAACACTTCTCGTCTCCCTCTTAGTTGCCGTAATTTCACGTCTTACTCTGTCTCTTTTTCTTTCTCTTTCTCCCGCCACCGCCGCCGCCGCCGCCACTGCTGCTGCTGCTGCTGCTGCTGCTTCGCCGTTCCCCTGCCTTTCTCTTTCTCTTTCTGTTTCTCTTTACCTTTACCTTCGCTCTGGCGTACCTCTTGCACCCCAACATAGAAGCAACGTGTATTCGTTTCTTTTCGTTTCTCGTTTATCCTCCGATTTTGTTTTTGTTTTTTTTTTTATTTTCCTTTTCGACGATCGACGATCCTCTCTTGGCTCCTCTTTTTTCACCTCTTCCGGTCTCGACGGCCGTCTTATTTAGGTTTGCTGATCGAAATGAAAAAAAGTGCCGCGCATCCAGGAGAAGCACATCGGCAAATACGAATTTAATCTCGCGGCACGTCGTTGAGTTACTCGAACAGTCGGTAGGGGGTGCTGTGTAGTGTAATCGAGAGAGAAAGAGTGAGGAATTAGCGGGAGAAGAGAGACGGACCGTGACGAGACGAGACGAGACAAGACGAGACAAGATGAGACGAGACGAGACGAGACGAGACGAGACGAGACGAGATACGACGCGACGCGTTGTCGAGAGGTGGAGCGAGACGGATTGAGAGGATGAGTTGGCAAGCGTGGAGGGGGCGTAGCGTGCGGGGGAGAGGGAGTTGAGCGACGACGGAGCAAGCGAGAGAAGTCGGTTATCGCGTCGTAGAGGGGGACGACGCGCGAAAGACAAGGAGGGAGAGCATCGCGCGTTCCTCGTCGCTGCAGTGTGGAGTACACTGTGGAAGAGCGTGCGCGCGCGAGTGAGACGGCCACGGTTTCGGAAGGAAGAGAGGGAATGATAGTGGAAAAGAGAAAGAGGAGGAACACCGGGGCTGGTGGACGAGAGACGGAGCGTGAAAGAGCGTGGTGGTGCGAGTGAAGAGAGACGGGAAAGTCGATGGTGGAAGGAAGAGAGGTGGATGACGAAAGAGAGAGAGGAAAGGAGGCGAACGAGCGAGCAAGAGACGGAGGACGGTACAGAGTGGCGGTACACGGGGCGCGAGAAAAGCGGTAGTGTGCCGTGGACCACCGCACTGGCATACCGTGGTTCGTTACGATCCCCTTCGTACGTCGCCTCGTACCGAACCTCGCAGTCATCAGCGAAGTCACATTTCGGCAAGTGCTAGTGCAGTGCGGAGACGGAGTCGGAGCGGTTGCTTCAAGTCGTTTAAAAAAGTACGACCGACGTTTCCGAGAGACACGCACCGGGCCCCGGGTCCCTCTGTGTCACCGAATAACACAGAGAGTATCATATCGTACAGAAAATCATTTCGATACGACAAACGTACAGAGGGCAAAGAGGAGAGGTGTTCCGCGAGGGAGAAATCGTCGCGTGCCGGCCGACTGAATCGTCGACGGGCGCGCACGCGGTAGAGAGGCCCACAGCCAGTTTTATAGCCCGTCTTATTACCCCGGTTTATTGCGTCGTAACGGTTTAACGATCATCGCCCGTTTCCACTACCTAGACCGCCGGTTTACGCTCTTACCGGTAGCGGTAACCATAACAAGCCCATAAAAAGGCCCCCGCCGCTGCCATGAATCCCATTCGGAATTATACTCCTACGGCCTACTGACATTGACACTCTTGGGTGCAACCGCTTATACCTACCGATGACTTTTATGACCTTTTAAAACGGTTTAATGCCCGTTTGCTCGTCCCTCGTCGACGCTGTCACCTGTCGCCACACGCGTCAAACAGCGTATCGGAGCTCAACGCGACGCGCTTACCTCACGCCTTTTGGCGCGAACCACCACCGGACACACGGAGTCGGAACCACGACCATCTCCGCCACTATACTTTTCACCTCTCGTCGAGGTGCCTCTCGAACGGTGAACGGGGACTAACTTATTTTACAAACTTGGAGAAACGCGAACCGAGACATCGGATCTCGCGGAGCATGGACTCTTAACATCGCTCGCGACTAGCCACAAACAAAGCCACAACAAAGTAAACAGAATCGTGCGTCCTTTCGTTCCTCCTTCTCTCACGAAGGCTCGAAGAAGGAAGAGACCTCTGCCAGGAACAGTTGTCTCGCGACACCACCGAGGCTCTTGAATTCTCGCCTCCTCGCTCACGCGTGTTATTTTTTTTGTTTTCCTCTGAGTGGCGGTGTTTCAGTGCAAGTGAATTCATAATGAACTCGTATTTTGAGCAGACTGCGGGTGGCTTCTACGGAAGTCACCACCATCAGACTGGAGCCGCCAGTCAACACCACGATCCAGCCACGGCCGCGGCTTATCGAAGTTTCCCTCTTGGCCTGGGCATGTCACCTTACGCGTCCACGCAGCATCATCATCACACTTCGTCATCGTTGGGCATACACCCGGGCGGAGGTACGAACACGAGGCCACCTCAAGACTCACCGTACGACGCGAGCGTCGCGACGGCCTGCAAACTTTACTCGACGACACCGGAGGCGACTGGACACACCACCTCTTCCTACTCGACCACAGCGACCAAGGACTGTAAGCAACAAGATCAAGCATCGGCGCATCAGAACGGTTACGCTGCGGTGATGGCAGCCGCGGCCGTCAAGGACGTTTGGCAGTCAGCGACCTCGGGGGCGAACAGTCAAAGCAATTCGGTGGTTCGTCCATCGGCGTGCACTCCGGAAGGTACGAGGGTTGGTAGCTACGGTGGTCTCGTAGGCGGCGACCCGGCATCGAGTCCTGGTAACAACAGTTCCTCGAGGTCCCTCACGTCGTCCTGGAACACCTGCAGTTTGAACTCGTCCGCGAGCCAACCGGTTGCCACGCAACTACATCAGCAACCCACCAACCATACCTTCTACCCTTGGATGGCTATAGCAGGTGAGTTTACATTCATACGATCTGTCTGTCTCTCTCTGTCCCGCGCAACGATTATCATAACAGCCGTGATGAAATATAGAGAAGCGACCGTACGATGCTTAGGGGAGAGAGCAAGCGGCGGGTTGGTAGTGTGTGGAGAAGGCCACCACGTGGTCGGGAAAGGCGTGGTGGATCGAGTTTACCCAGCTCCATTATACGCCAGGCGAAATCGCCCTCGTCGAACGTTTCACGGTCAACGCTCGAACCGCGTGGAACTCGCAGTCGACGAATCGAACCGCGTTTCTTTTCAATTTCCTTTTTCATCCGCCCTCTTCTTTCTACCACGGGCTTCGTCGTATTCCCGCGCGAATTTTACCGCAAAAACTCGGACTCCGCGTTTCGTGTGGATCCGATATCTAAACAAATCATACCGCCCTTGATTCCGCTTTGAAAAATGGAAGACACGAGCTGTATACAATCGTCGAATGTAAGTTGCCGTTGTGTTGTTGTTACGTCGAAACTGCTCGTAATTTTTTCGAGCCGAGTCTATTTGTGTGTCGATTGAAATACGACGTATCCGTCATGAAGCGTAGCCGAGATAACGGATTTATAGTTGGCAGCCGACTAAAAATATTCGGTTGCCTTCTGCGCGAATGAATGCACCGAATGCCGGTGGACGAGGAGAGGGAGGAGGGTAATAACTAATCCAGTGTGAAAGCGACGTGCAAAGTGACAACTCGAGTTATCATTAATATGTGTGCGTCTGCTTCTCTCGCGCGAGGGAACGCCTCTTTTAAACGCGCCTCGTTTCCAGTCTCTGCGATCGTTTGTAAAGAGAAAAAAAAGAAACAAAAAAAAAAAATACGGCACGTGTCCATGGTCTCACGCTCGAGAATTTTGTTTCTCGCTAAAATTAATCTTTTCCGTGTTCTCCGTCAATTTAGAGCCACTTAGCTTTGCACGTCGTCCCACTGGACTCTGGGCTAGGTAAAAGGTCCGCGACCAGCGAGGTGGTCTTTTCGGTTAACACAACGTTAGCATTCGTTAAAACTAGAAGATCTATTTTTAATCCCTTGAAAGATCAAAGCGATTCCACGACACGTACTTACTTTCCACTGTTGTACATTTGTCGTACGTCTTGCGTTCTGTACGTAGTATTTACGTTATGGAAACGAACGTTAAATCGTGGAAAATCGGTCATACAGTGATAAAGTTACGTCTGGTGGATAGGTAGAATGGAGTCAAGTGCGTGTAAAATCGTTGGGCACGTCGAGTATAATGGGGAAGCCCTCGTCCAATTGGGGTTCAAGTGCCTTTCTCGTCGTACTCACCCCTCCGGAACCCCGAATTCCGGTAGTCAGCTGTTTCTAGCGATGTCCTTGTCCCTCTTGCCGAGAGGTTCCCTAGCAGCTTCTCGCTTTGTCGTAGGCAGATATATAATCAACCGAGGCCTCACCGAGCTCTGTCTCGCTTTTTGGTCACCGCCTTTTCTCTCTACCAACTCAGCTGAGTTTTAGGATGTTCGTCTTTCGTTGCTCGTACCTCTCTCTCCCCTCCCTGTGTTAACCTTTCTTCCTACGGTGTTTTGTTTCGCTCTTACTTACAATGTTTCTCTTCTAGCCTCCTTCTCGCGCCCTTCGGTCCGGTTTAAGGCCCCAGCGTTGTACTCTTCTTCCTCTTCTTTTTCTGTTTTCTTCCTCTTATTTTATTATTTTTTCCTTTCGCCGGAGAACGCGAAGAAGAGGAGGAGACGGAGGAGGAGGAGAAGGTGGAGGCCCCTCTCTCTTTATGCATACAAAAGGTGTAGAGATTATTTTACGAGCTTTCGTGACGTAGGCGCGTGCTTATTCAAAGACAAGAAAACGGGATTTTATTGAACGAACCTTATTTTTTACGTCCTTCTATAAATACTAAATTCAATCGGGAGAAAGAATTTAATATTCAAGAGAAGGCGGCAGCAACGGCGGCGGCGGCGGCGGCGGCGGCGGTGCGGCGATGTTGCGCCGTTCTCGTTCCATCTAACGTCAGTTTCGGCCCCTGGCCCCGGCTCCATCGGCCCGGAGGAAAAAAAATCTCCCCTCACCCGGCTGCGTCGTTTTGCTCGCGTATTCCTGAATCAACTCGGCGTCTTCCATTCAATAACTGCAACAAGATTTATAGTCGATGAATCGTCCCGGCTCGCGCGGCCGTGTGCACGCGCGCGCGATCGTTTCTCGCTTCTTCGATCCGACGAAGGCGGAAAGCGGTTTGCCATTACCCTTTCGCGTTTATCGACGAAGGAGAAACGAGAAGATCTAATCGTTCGATCAGAGAGAGAGAGAGAGAGAAATAGAGAGAGAGAGAGAGAGAGAAATAGAGAGAGAGAGAGAGAGAGAGAGAGAGAGAGTGAGAGTGTGCAAATCGGGCCAACGATACGACGACGGAATGCGGCGATCGTAGGAGGAATCGTAGGAATGGGAAAAGGCGATTGATCGGCCTAGCAAACTCTCGTCGAACAGGTTTCTCTATGTGCTCGCGGATCGAAAGTCGTTGACTCATTTCGCGCTCGCCGGCAAGTGCTCTTCAACGTCGCCGGGGCTACAATCGATACACGCGCGGCGAAATTTATCGATACAGGATTATGGATTATTTCGTCGTAGATTAAATTCCCCTGGTAAATATAGAGCCATCAACGTTCACCGCGTAGCGTTTGTAGCACACGGCCTATAATAAATAATTTAGCTTTATCGGCACGCACCTACCGAACCGATCCGTCGACAAGGTGTTTATTGGCCGTCGGTGTGCCGCGCACCGTGAAAAACATCGACTCTGGAAACTACCATTTTCTATTTCTTTTTTTCTTTTTCTTTTTCATTTTTTGTGGCCTAAAATATATCTCCACTCGCCTTTGCCAAAACCAATCATTTTTCGCCTTTTCCACTTCTATACTTCTAACTTTCAAATACCTTTGTAATGTTCAAAGCGTGAGAGCAGTCGGGCCCGTTCGTTTCTCCCTGTCCTTTCCAACGCGTCCATTTTTCTAAATATCAAACAACGAACGAGAGAGTGTTCTCGCACACAAGATGCCGTATCTACAGGATGATTTATCGATCCTCTAACGGTATCGGCGGTTAAACGTTGTTGGTAAGTGAGCGATAAGTGATTGAAGAAGTGATTATGCCGCCCAAATCGCACAAATCAGCGAGGCATAGACACGGTATCATTAACTCGATTTTATTGCGGATCGGTGTTACGGGAACACGATCCCGGGACGACATTAACGCTCCTCGGGAGCACTACCGCAGACGCGTACGCCTCACGATCGGCCGAGGAAACTTGATTGCACGGAATGCATTTGTATCATTGGCCATGATAAACATCAAAGGGTACACGCGCTTGAAATTCATTGTGATTTATGACGCTTGGAGAAGCGTCGGTGTTGCTACCGTTTTCAGATGTAAATGTCTCTCTTATTAATGTTGCGATAATGAAGCAATATAATGCGCTATCGGGTGCGTATAATGAATGGTCGTAGATATAAATCCGTGTGCTTTTATTTGTACAGGCAACATTTGTTTAGATAATGTCCGCGAACGAAGAAGAGGCGAGAAAAGATGAAAAAGAAAAGAGAAGAATCAACCGTATCTATTCGACAATTATCGCGTTGCAGGATTGAACAAGCTGGTTACATTTATCGGGCACGTTCCTCTTTCAACTGGATGGCAATTCCACGAGACGCATTGACTCGATTTCTCAAAAGGCTTTTCTGTCCTGCGGTAGTATCAGTTTCGGGGGCTGTTTTCAAACGGGAAGAAAATTTATGGCCTCTCATTGAAGGGTCTGGCCCGCGTCTACGAGGTAATTAGAGGGCGTGAAGACGGAGCTTCGAATGCTATCTCTGTACAACCCCCACGGTTCATTTATTTTCTGTAAAACTGCCTCGTTTCCCGACAACGTTCTTTCTGCAGGTGTCAGTTTTAGCTTCACGTCGTTCCATCTGTCTTCCAATGGGATAATGTCTCAAAAGAAAAGAAAAAAAAAAAAAAAAAAAGAGAGATCGATCAATCGATCATTGAGAAATCTAATGAGAAATTAATGAAATCGTTAAGAAAACGATTATTCGATTGCTTTAATTACGCTATGTTTAGAACTAGTTCCGGTCGTTTTTCACAATTCGAATTTCATAAATGTTAAGCAGAAAGGTACAAGGAGGTCTTTTCCCATTAATGGGAAAGAAAGAAATAAAAAAAGAAAAAGGGGGGAAAAGATCAGCGTTCTTTGGGTAAAAGAAAAATTACGCCGAGAGAAGCGTACCGTGAAGATCGAATCGTTCGATAATTCAACCCTGTTCCCTCGTAAGCCTGACCCTCCGAAATTGATTAAAAAATGCAAAATACGTGTTAGAAGTCCAACGAACCGATGCTGTATATCCGTGTTCTTTTTTTTTTTTTTTTTTTTTTTTTTGTTTTTGATTTACGCGCGTCGATATCGCGTGGTGGTTGCGGCGATCTTTATTGGACGGTTCATCTAGCCTCGGCATCGTGTACGAACGGATAGAGAGCTAACAAACCTTGAACTCTTGTGCCGAAGCAGTGGGATTCCCGCGTAAAAGCCACGTGGTCTCGCCCGCTTCTCTCCTTCTCTCCGTCCTCTTTCTCTTTCTCTCTCTCTCTCTTTCGAGTTGGAAACGAGTATGGTGCTACTCGACGATACGACGGTTGCCAGTAGGTGTTACGTACCTCGGGGAGCAACCTCGTTCAATATAAACCAGCTAGGAACAACGCTGTAACCGTAACGTTGACGTTTACGACGACGAAATCGTGGCTCGGCTCGTTTACCCCTCCCTCTTATGTGCCTCCACGCTTACCGCTATCGCCGCTGTGAGGCTCGTCGGTAATACAGAGCACATATCTTCGTGTGTATCGACCAAGATCGTTTCGCGTCTTCGTGTGTGGTGGAAATGTTTTTGCTAGAACAGAGAAACACGAGGAAGTTCATTGTATGTACAAATCATTTATGGGCCGGCGATTTTTTACGGATTCATTTCACGCGACCCGCTAATTATCGTTTGCTACGGAATCGTCTCATAAATAATAGTAATAATCGACTCACTTGTTTCCCTTATGTTTTTTTCGCCGTAATTTTCCCTCGATAATCGTTTGCTACCCTAATCCTCATCCACGATACGTCCACGGCTCTGAAAGATATTTAATAATTAATAATTACATCGATAAACGTACGCGCGTGGTTGTTTCGTATCTTTGAATGTATACCTCAATGGCTGACAAACATGGCTGAGAGAACTTTCCATCTTGACGAGTGGTCGATGTTTCCGGTCGTGTCGTTCCCGCGTACACACCTTTCGCGATGCTTCGTTTTTTCTTTTTCTTTTTTTGTTTTTTTTTTTCACGGACCATATAAGGCGCTAATTTGCAGTCGGAAAATTGAAAAGATCGAATCGTACAGTTGCGTCGGATATACATAGGCGTGCGTGCTGCACGCCCGTGACCAAGTGGTTCGGCCTATCCTACCTATGGAGGCGCATGGGTGACCAACGTGTGAGTGCGTGCGTGAACGATCGTGGTGGTGCGCGAACACTAGTGCACCTCGACCTAAAGAGGCAAGCCAAGTAGGTGCGTTCGTCGTGTATAGAAGCCTCGTAGACCCTTTCCATGTGTTGCTCCGTTGGCCCGGATGGAGGATGACGTACGAGCCTCTCCGTATGACTTACTACGCCCTTTTCCCTTCTCCACGCCCGCCGCTTCTGCGTACTGTTCGCTCAAAAAACATTCGGGTCTCTGGAAATTACTCTTCACTCTTCACGTTTGATCGGAACCTCATCCTGCCCTCGCTCGTCGAATTTCTTGAATCCGTTCACGAACATTTTCCACTTCGTCAGGCGACGTTTGCCAGCGATCAATTTTCCTCTCTCGTCAGAAAATCACGTATAAAAATTTAGATTATTAGTTTAATTTTCCAACGATCGTTTATTTACGTTAAATCTTAATTTGTTTCCTCCGAGAAAACCTTACGAAGGCTTCCTGACAATGGTCTTTTGTGTGAATCGAGCGTAGAGTGGATGAAGAAAAGTAGTCTCTGTTTTATAATAATCAGGGAATTAAGCGTGAGGATTATGGTTAATGTAACCGGAAAAATGTTTTTTTCTTTTTTTTTTTTTCGCGGCATTGAACGTGAAACGCGTGTGTTTGCGCCGTACCACGAACGAACATAGTACCGCAGTTGTTATAACGTCTCCCGCTTTGCATTAAACGGAGGAATTTAAATTGTTGATGTTCTACTGGTAAGGAAAACATATGTAGCTATATCATCGCCAATACAAATCGTTTTATATCGCACGAAATTACAAGTTGTCCCGATTTTCTCTACACGCAACACTTCGCCGATTGATTTTTAATTCCCGCTCGTTAACGTGCCGCGCATAGGCGGCGCACGCATTGTTGCGAAAAAATGACCGGGCCCCAAAGGCCGGCCGCAGTGAGACAAAATGCCGTAGAAGCGTGTCATTAAAAGTAATTGTAAACATCGATCAAAATGTATCAGGATATTCGCAATTTGCATACGCCTCGCTGAATAATTTCATCGTGAACGCGAGTATCGTCAATCAATTTTTATATTTCGGTGCGCGTTATAACGCGAAAACCTTGAAGGCATTAATCACAGGTGTTGGGGATGCACCGCATGAAAGTGTAATTTCTGATCGGCGGAATCACTTACATCCTGTCCCACGTTTTTCTCAACCGACAACGCGGCTGCTGCCACTCGTAAACACCCGTGATATTATTTCACGCGACTCGGTAACGTGCCGATCAGCGTTCAGCTAGAGCTTTACACGTCCGGAATAATTGCGACCCCATTTCGATACCATCTACTATTTGCTATTAGTTATCGCTAAACATTACTTCCATTACCTACCCGTGTAACGCGTAAAAATGCTACTGCATCGGTTATCGCGTTCTGTTCGAGTGGGGGAAAAAGTAGAGTAAATGAGAGTTTGTCAACTTTGTTAACTAGAACCTTTGTGCACTTTCGTATTCGTTGCGAACGTAATTATAGAAACGATGCCTGGGGGGAGAAATTTGTTTCCGCCACCTACAACCGTTTCCAATATTTTATACCTGTATTTTCGCATTTAAATTTAAATAGTCGCACAACGTACCTAAATTTAATCTCTCTTGAGGTATCAGGCTGTAAAAAAGGGGGACGAAAGTAAATTTATTTCCTGTTAAAGTGAATGATCGAATGCACCACAGACATGGAAACAAAGACAAACGAGAGGCAGGAAGCGTGCAAGCGATTATAAGATAAACGGAGTGATATTAACGTAGGAACGTTGCACCGGTATCTCGTACGAGGATCGAAGAAGGACACTCGTACACGTGTTACGGCGAAGGAGAGGCGCGCATAGACAAGGTAACAAACGATTCGAAGACGAGCGATGGTCCGTGGTGTTGCGTCTTTATTCGAGAGGCCGCCGAGACACATCGCCGACGTTCGAAGACTGTAACGACATGGTAAACAATAGGAATGGTTTATTCGTGCCTACGAGCTGCGAGAAAGAAAAGAAGAAGCGGAGGAACGTGAGTGGCGCGTAACGCGCGCGCAAAGGCATATAGGCACTGATCGCACGTTCAGAGCCGGCAGCATATACCGGCTGCCTACCAGGGTTTTCAATTTGATGGACGAGCTGTTCGCATGTACGAACTCGTGTGCGCTGGCTCGCTTTTACACAACGACAACAGCCCATACGCTATCCGGCTGTTTTGCAAATTTCATGCGGGAGGAGTTATCGCCCTCGTGGCCCGGGATTAATTCTCTCTCACTGTGTACCGTTTGTCGTCAATGGTTATTTATCAATTACCCCCTGTTTCTGAGATTATCGTTCCGTCAAAGAGTAGAAAAAATGACTATCTATCTATTTCTCTATCTTCTATCTAGAGCTCCAACTTAGATTCTTCCCCCGAGATCGATCTCTTTCGATCACCGTATCACATTACTAGTTAGACTAATGGCGCTCGTGTGTTTTGACACGAATGAAAACGCCTGTAAATCGCCCGGGACAAGGCATATTTCATCGGTGGAGGATGTTAAATGAGAAAAACCACGGAACGTCCGGGTGGATGGTAGGGTAAATAAAAGGACGGCGGAGGATGGAAAGGGGGAAATTCGTTTGGTCATATCGGCCGGAGATTTCAAGGCTGCTGACAGCAGAAACGCCGCGATTTTGATTGGTTCGGCTTCTTGCTCGTCCATACAGCCGACTGCCATTTCGCTGCTCCAGGCTGAGATAATGCATACTTTGGATCGGCCGCGCTTCGTAGACACGAAGAACGTGTTTAGGTGCTCGACGATCGGAACGGCTACACCGGCAGACAAAGGATACGTATGCCCGTGTGCCCGCAAGGAAAGATGGATACAAGGCGAAATAATTGAATCGAAAAGTGTTCCTGCTCGCGTTTTTGCGGAATAACTCGTCGTTGCTTCGCAGATGAAGCTGCAGCTCGTACATTTCTGGCGTTCATCGTTGAAAGCACACGAGAGAGTAGAACTGCCACGCAAAAACTCTGCGCATCGAAGAGTGTGAGTGAGAGAGAGAAAGAAATAGGAAGACGCGCTCGACGATCTCCAAATCTGCGTCTCCGAGTTCGAATATTTTCACATCGATCGTTCCAACTTGGAAAAACAATTACACGAAGATTAAAAGTGGCTTGCGATGGTTAGTGATTCGTGACGATCGGTTCGTGGATTAAAACGAGCAACGCAATCTCCATACATCGCTAAACGTTTCTTCTTCCCATCGATCTTCCATCGTCGCGTTACTTAGCGATTCGAGGCGATGCCTCGATGTACGTGGAACTCGTTGAAATCGATGATCGCGGCTGTATCGCATCGTTTCCATCAACGAGCAACTCGTATGGAGAAAAAGAGCGCGAAGCGCGGAGAGGAGAGCGAGAGGAGGGACGAGGTGTTGTGCGGTGTGGCGCGATCGTGGCGTACTGGAAAGAATATTCGATCGGTTTCTTCGCCGTTGCTGTCCCGATTTCTTGCGGCATTTCGGCGCCATCTGCGCCATCGCGGTTGCCGTGGCCCCGTATTCAATTAATGCGCGTCGATGTAATCGGGGCCCCGTCGATACCGCAAATAGACACGGATACGTTCGTAACTCACGGCAGTTTTTGCCACGGTTAGCCTGCCTTACAGCGCGCTGTGCCGCCTGGCCTGCCGATGGCCGGCCATTACAAACACCACCACCTGCCAGTCCTAGGCCTTTCAGCGACCTGACTGCCACAATGCTTTTGTACCGTTGTTCCCTGTGCCCTCTTCCTCATCGTCGGGTCAGGTCTCGCTGACTCCGAGGGCACGAGCGTAAAAAAAGTTAGGAATATCGAGCAATGGCTAATTGCCAGGGACACGGATACCTAGGATACGTTATCTCGCGTGAGTAGAAACACATGGCATAGCCAGCCAGATCGCGAGTTACCGCGTACCATTTCGACATACATTTTCCTCGTTTCTTTAACTGTCTCTTGTATCACTTGTCGCTTTTTTTCGTTTTTTTTCTATTTCTATTACGCAACGAACTTAACCAGCCGCGTGCGTGTCTTTTCTTACTATCTCTTATTGTTATTTTGTATTTTATCGCCACTCTCTTTGTCGCAAAATGTGAGACAAACAGAACCGTAAACGCGTTCTTCCTCCATTTTCGTCAATTTCACGCGCACGACCACGAAGCCGCGATCGGCTGTCCGTGTATATACATATGTAGAACGCGGAGCATAAGTCGGCTCGCGTTCACGCGAGAACTGAATCGAAACGTTTGCGTACCCATTTATTTTCGTAGCTATTGACCGCCGACGCGGGTGGGAAAGGACGACGGGCATAATTTATCCAGCTGAAACCCCTTGACCTTTTAAAATAATTGCTCGATCGTCGCTCGTGTGCCGGAACGAAAATTTCTTAATTTTACCGCCTCTTTCCCGTCGTACGTCCGATGATGTACGATTCTATCCGGCGTTTCTTTTTTTTAAGCGCATAAACGACTCCTCGAAGCCGCTTATCCTTCCAGCACCTGAGCTTGGACAACCGTTATTACCTGCCGGCCATATTGACCGTGTTGTTCGAACGCAAATTAATAATATAAACATTCAAGCTTCCTTCCCATCAGCATTCAGGAAAAGCACGGACTATTTGGCGATCGTCGATGAAGGAAAAAAGAGAGAAAAGAGAGAGAGAGAGAAAGAGAGAGAGAGAGAGAGACACGGAGCGGTTAATCAGCCGGATTTAATTAATTTTCTCGAAGCGCCACCGAATTCCTGATGCATGAATCACATCGCATCGATACTGCACTCCGAGACTCAATGAATGCTTTACACGGCCGCTGCATGCGGGAGGTGAAGGGGGCGGACCTTCTAATCTCGCAGTCCTTTTTCCGCTACTAAAAAAAAAACGTACGGACAGTCATTCGTCCGTGGCGAAATTACGCATTCGTCACGTTCGCGAGACACCGTGCGTGCGTTTGTTTTAT